AGCCTTTATGAGGTGTGATCAAAAATACGGTGGATGCAGCTGCCCAGCGCCACCCAAGCAGACGGGACGCTGGGTCCTCACTCACTCTCTGCGCCTGGCCCCGGGAGACTCGCGGCCCTTTCCCAAGTGAGGAGGTCCACAAACGTTCTGAACGGATTCAGGACATCAAGCCAGCCACAGCAGTGCAACTGAAGACACTCAGGAGAGGGCTCCAGAGCTGCTGCAGGAAGTGGCCAGACGGGGTGAGTGAGTTCAAAGTAAGGGGAGGTTTCGGAGGGGTCTCGTGGCGATGTGTCTTTTGTTGTAATCAATCTTCTTTACACACACACCACAGTTTTGGGCACACTTGCTATGTATTTCCTAAGGCTGCCCCTTGCAGCAGGGCTGAGCACCTTGACAGTGGCCTGGAACGGTCTGCTTGGTCACAAGCTCCCATGGACAGGGGTGGCTTCAGTGGTAATCTATTTTCTCAACTCTAGAACCCGGCAGGATCGGTTTCCTGGCCGCGAGGTGCCGCCTTTGTCTCGTCCCTCCGGGGGCAGGCAGCATCCAGGTCCTCCTGCTGTCCCCTGAAGGTACCAGCCACATGGAGCTAAGGCCCCATTCTTACGGCCTCCGTGCCCCACAAGTCTTGGCTCTCAACTGTGTGACCGGTGGGGCCGGCACCCACAGATGAGCTCTGGGAGGGCGCTGACATCCGGTCTACAAGCGAACACAGCTTGTAGCATCTGGCCCACGACAGAGCAGTGTAGGGCTGGGACAAGGTCCTGAGTTCAAGCCCTGGTATACCCTGAAAAAACATTTGCCCATCGTTGGTCTACATCCTGTCTTCTCGAAATGCAAACATTTCAACCCCATCTAGAGCTGCTGAATGAGAATCTGTATTTTAACAAAGTCTACAGTTAACTCATATATTAAAACTCAAGAGGCACTGGTTTCCAAATCTAGGGATCACCATAAATCACCTGGGAAAAGTTATTTTAAACACAGATATACATTTTTACAACACAGGCTCCATCTTAGCAGAACAGTTTAAAAAACAAATGTAAACTGCCATTGTTCAGCACTTAGCCAGGCACTGTTCTAACTTTTGCATGCATTATTTTCACTTAATCCTAACATTCTAAAATAGCCATTATTATTATTGTTATTATTATTATTCCAATCTAAACAATTAGGTGACTGGCCAGGAATTAATTTGCTATAAGCGGTAGAGACTGAGTCAAATCCAGGCAGCGGAGACAAAACCTCCTCACAGGTATCTCTTTCCTTGCAGGTGCCTGGACCCTGCTGCAGAGCACAACTCAGGGACTCAGGGAGCACTCCAGGAGCACCCAGGGACTCAGGGAGCACCCAGTATCTCAAGGAGCACTCAGGGAACATTCAGGGAGCATCCAGAGACTCAGGGAGCACATTCAGGGAGAACTCAGGGAGCACTCAGGGGACTCAGGGAGCACCCAGGGGCTGAGGCTTAAAGGCTGGGCAATATCTTTTCAGACTGAAAGAAGAGAGACAGACAGAACTGATTTCATCCAGAGGATACTGAAAATATTTTAGGTTGGCAGAGACTGTTTTTGTTCAAGATGAAGAATGGAAGGAAAAATAACCAGCAGATGCTCTGTAAGTTTTGCATCATATTGTCGGTTTCATTGGCCTACAAACATTTTGTCTTTAAAACAATCTCTTTCTTTACTGCCTTAATAGTATTTCTTTTTTTTAGTAACAGGATTTATCTAAAGAAAGAAATGCTCCATTTCTTTTGAAATACTGATTTCTACCTTTTTTTCAGTACCAGGGATATAGGCGTGTGCCACCACACCTAGCCCCTAAGTTTCTTTTATGCCAAGACATCTTCTGCAAGGTCACAAATCCCTGCAGCTACACGGGGTGGCTCGCCAGTGGCAGCTCTGCTTGGTCTTCTTTCTTGAGATGTAAAACTCACCACCAAACTTTTTCTATTGTGGCAAAATGTGCCACCTAGAAACTGGACTTGACCTTCACATGCTTCCTTACCAATTGACACAGGCTCAGGCTCAAGTATCTCATTCGTAACCAAGAACTGTTCCTTTGGACTCCTCCCAACATTACTGGGAGTTCCAAATTTGGATTTGTTTCTTTTTTTTTTTGGTACCGGGGATCTAACTCAGGACCTTGCACTTGCAGGGCAGGCAGTGGCACCATTGAGCTAAATCCCCAGCCTCAATTTCTGATTTCAAAAGAAAGAAAGAAAAGAAAAGAAAGGAAGGAAGAAAGAAAGAAACAAGCAGTGGGGTTTGGAGATGTACAAAGCGCACACATTACTTTTTAAATATTTCAGAATTTCACATTTGGTGCTCATTTAATCACGTTTGCTACAAAATTAAATGTAATAATATAAGTTCTTTGGCAAATAAAAGCTAAGGTGACTGAACATGTGTCCTAAATTTTAGATTAACATCTTCTAAATAATCATCCTTTTCACATTCTACAACATGAAAACCAAATGATTCAGAAGCTTCTTACAATCAAAAAACAGCCCATTTGCATTTAGAAACTCCAACTCTGGAATTTAAAGCCAATTTCCAAAATAGAAATTTTTTTGTGTATCAGTCTGTTGTCAGTGATCACGAAGTGTGCGATGAGTTTTGCTTCAGAGTTGGTGTGATAAATATAACAAACATCTCGATCATAACTGAGTGGACCACAGGGTGCCGGGAAAAAATTCAAGGGAAACTAACGAGAGAGATGCAAAATCCCGAAGCAAACTTTAAACACTGAACACAGCACATTAAATCGTAAGACAGTGCTTGCCCCAGACCCCAAATGTAAATCACTTAAAGTCAAATTGGAACAAAGCGGCAACACTGAACACTTCCCATCGCTCTGCCAGGGTCTGAATCACACAACTAAAGGCAAGAGACTCTCTGGTCACTGTCAAAAACAAAGCATCCCACAGCCTGGTGAATTACACTTTGAGTGAAATGTTTTAAAATAACTTTGATTACTGGGCACAAATCAATGTAACCAGAAATCTGAGGAGCAGCTGGCAAGGCAGCCGGTGAAATACCTGCGGGTTAATCTTTCCTGCTGTAAGCAGCAGTGAATCCATCACATCTGCATGTCACCAGCAATGCCTGACTTGGGAAATACACAAAAGTGTTTGATATCTTGAATTGAAGACAAAAATCCATTTGCTATTTTCTTCCTTTCTGAACAAAGAACTGTCTGCACTTCCAGGGAGAATGTGTCCCATTCACACACGTTTTAAACTGCAAACTTGATTATTGGAAGTGGAAACAAAGGGGTGTGCTGGGCATCAGGCTGGGGATTAGCATGAAAATGAAATTGTAAGACATAAGTTTGTTACTCAAATCAGCAAACAGAAGTGTTTAATTTCATTTCTGAGCGCATTTAGTAAATCTAGCTCCTGCCCCAGCACCTTTCCTGTGCAGAATCCCAGTAGCATCAAGGGCTCACCCTGGGGACACCGAGCACCCTTAACCTGCTGCCCTCAGAACCATCAGTCTCTGTTAACCAGGCAGCACCGCCAGATGCTCGGGCACAGGCGGCCACAGATGGTCAGTGGCCGATCCGACCCGAGGGACAGCACGGGAGCTGCCCGGACCTGGGCCGACGTCCTCACCAGTATCAGCTTGAGGCCAGACTGGCTCTTGGGTTAAAAGGCACTGGATGGGACCCAGCCAGCAGCTGGACGGGGCGTGAGCCTGCCTAGCACAGCAATGCCACAGCTTTGAAGAAAAAAGTTCCTCTCAAGTTTTTACAAGCAGAGCTTTGTTTGCTTTTTTATAAACTTCCATCTCTTCAGAACAAGCAACCTGTAGTGTAAGTTCAAAAAGTGCACAGCAGAAGAGGACTGCTTTTACGTATCTTCTACAGATTTATTTTCCCCCAACAGGAAGCTCGAAGTACAGATTGGGTCTGTAATTTTCTTAACAACGGTCCCAACTGCTTCCTGCTGACCCTAAGTAAAATTCTTCTCAACCACGGGGGATGGGAGGGCACACAGGAAGCCCAGGCGAAGCAAACGTCAGAGGCTGGGACAGCAGGCTGAAGGACGTTGGGCAGCACCGCGGCCAGGAGGGGTCAGCGGGACAGGAGCAGCTTCTCATCACCTGGAGGCAGGTGACAGAGCCGCAGCAAAACAACCCAAGCCAGATCAAGTTAAAAACCAACCCAGGGTGATTATATGGCAAACCCCATCTGGACATCTTGGGTCAGGAGTGCAGGGTCCCCCTCCCCGGGGTTCCCCTGTGCAGGCTCCAACGTGGGGTGCTGCGTGGAGAGGCGGGAGGAGGCCAAGGGAGCCTCCGACAGGGACAGCTGGCTGAGGGTGAGGTTCAGATGCTGCAGGTTGGGAGCAGCGGGGGACAAGAAGAGTAGAGTGACACCTGGCACTTCAGAGTGAAAACACTTGTGGGCAGCGCCAACCGGACAAGGCGCTTGTGCTAGATGCACATTTTCTTAACCTTTCACTGAGCATGCCACATGGAATGCTTTTCCTTTGCAGACAAGAACAGGGGAGAAGACAGTGTCTTAGAGGATCAGGAACCCAAACAGAAGGTTGTGTTTTATCCCCAGCATCCTTAAGTCAGAGTTTGAGTTTGGAAATATTTATGGTTACTGGATTACAGGGAGGGCCGCCCTTTCACACATCATCTACGTAAATCAGTTTGCATCTGTGCAGCACGCCCAGGTGAATTCCAAGTTCCACCTGATGATTGATCATTTGGTGAAATCCCGATTCAGCGTTCCTGTTCCCCACCTCCCACACTTCCTCTTGAACAGAATGGAAGCTCACACTACCAGGAAGTAGCAAATGCCAGAAAAGAACATTTCCAGAGCACAGGAAAGACAGTGTGGCTACTGGACATCTGCCGTGCAAGCAGCGCGACAGGCTCAGTGACAGCCAAGCCACACCTTCCCTTTGTCTTGAGCCCCTTCTCCTGCCTGGGAGCAGCCACCTCTCTCCCGGCTGTCCAGAGAGGACTCAGAGGACTCACCCAGGCCGCTGAGTGTGTGCAGCAGCTCGCCGGGGGCCAGGACGATGGGCCCACGCTCCTGCTGTCCTTCCTCCCTGTAGAACAGCTTGTAGCCCTGGACGGCCGCAGGGTCCTCGGTGTCACGCTGCCACCTCACAGAGATGGTGGTGCAGTTCAGAGGCTCCAGGTGCAGCTCCGGAGACCTGGGGGCTGCAAAACCCCCAGAAGGGCTGTGTGTCACCCACCACCATCCACAGTAAACCAGCCAGGGCCTCCCTCGCCTTCCTCCAACCATTACAAAGACATCCAGTTCTAACAATCATCCTCTGACCTAACTTCCAAAATTTCACAATGACATTAAACTCTGACACAGGATTTAAAAATACTACGCCCAGAAGAATAAAATATGCTCATAATAACAAAATAATGTCTGTACAGGTATTTGCACTTTTAATTTTTTCAAAGAAGCAGTAACTACTTTCTAATTTTCACTACATAGTAATACTCTAACGTGAGAAAATGGCCACTATCATCAGTCCAATCCCAACTACCCCAGGCGTGTAAGAGAATGGCTCAGCATTTCCTAGTCTCACGGTCTTTCTTCTGAATGATGGCTTCATTTTTTAAAAGCGCATTAGTGTTACATAGGTCTCTGCCAATAGATTACTTTAGATAATTCTATTTGATTTGGATGAAGGTTTTGTCAAGCAAACTTATGGTACAGTTAAAAGTTTTATAAAATAAATTAATCTGATGCTGGAAAAAAAGGTTTAAAAAGAGGGGTAGAGGGGAAAGGAAAAAAAAGAATTGAGATGTGTAATGTACACGTACCAATTCCTCACAATGAATGTAATCATTACGTACTGCAAACATTCACTATCAAAAATAAAAAATTTACAAATAAAGTTTTGACTATAGGCGAAAATGGACTACTAAACTAAAAGTTTAATGTTTTTCGATCACATCTATAATCTATGGGCTATTTTTATTCACAAGACACAAACGCAAGCTATAACGGAGAGAGGGAGGCCCTGAGCCAGAGCCACAGCCCAGTGTCTGTCCCCACGTAGTGCATGATACCTTGCATGCTGGTGGCCTTGGGTGTTTTGTGCGAGGTCCACACTGACGCCTCTCCCAGCCCCACCCGGGTGGCCGCGGTGACGCGCACCAGGTAGATGCTGTCTGGCCGCAGGCCCTGCAGTAGGTACTCGTGCGAAGTGCCCGGGAGCTCCAGGACCTGGACGGTGCTGTCAGTGCTCAGGCGCACGGACACGCGGTACAGTACCACGCGGCCCCGGCGATACTTGGCTGGGATGGGCAGCCAGGAGATGAGGATGTCAGTGGGGCTGCGGCTCGTCAGGCTTATCTCCGGCGGCCTCAGCGGAACTGGGTGGAGAGGGAGACAGGCTGTTTGGAAGTGCTCAGAGTCCAAGCATCCTCAGGAATTCTCTCAACAGCCCAGAGGCGCAACCAGCTCTCAGAGGCTTCACGAGGAGCAGAACACAAGCCAGAATGAAGGAGCAATTGTGAGAGACGAGTGTATGGAATCAATGAAAGTGTGGTGCTGACCACCGTGTGACGCTTGCCTTCTGGGGTAAACACGGGAACACATAACACTCATGTGAAACGGGAATCGCTTTTCCAATTATCGCCCACGCACCTAGAAGCAAAGTGGAGGGAACTGCAGAAGGGGGGCTCCAGGATGACAACTTAATTAGCAAGAGGCCAAGTACTTTACATCAGGAAAATAGGAAAGATGCCTTGAGTAAAAAGCTTTGTTCTGAGAAGAGAGCCTTAGTGTACCATGCTCCAGAAAGGACTCCTAAGATTTGATTCACCATACTCAGCCATCCAGACACTCAGAGGCCTCTGCAGCCATGATGCAAAAAGGCCCAGAAACTGCTCAAGGTGGCAGCAGACCTTGGTATCATCCACATGGTGCTGGTTTTAGGTACACGCAGAATGCAAGAGCTGTGGAGTCATGGAGGCTTCTACTCAGATTTCAGAAGATGCCTGGGAGGCCAGGCTGTGTGCCCGAGACATCAGCAGGTGAAGCTACGAGAATGAAGACAAAGATGAGTGGAGACCCCAAAAAGTCAGAGAAACCAAGATCATAGAATATGGAAGAAAAACAGCAGACAGTGAACAAAGCCAGCCTGAAAGAGAGAGGCCACAGGGCTGCAACCACTGGCAATGCCATAGGTACAGGTTTTCCCAAGCAGTCTAGAGTCCACATCTTTGCTCTGGGTGCTGGACAAAGAGCTCATGATTTAATGTTTGCCTTGCTGGGTTTTGTTCTTGCTTTGGTAGGATTTCTTTCTATTGACCTATTCCTCCCTTTTGGAATGGGAACATTTACCCTGTGTTATTGTACGTCAGCAGTGTTTCACTTTCTTTTTGATTTTTTCAGGGGGCCAGAGCTAAGTGTTTGCCTTGAGTCTCAGAGGAGACCTTGGAGTTGTACTTCAACAATGCTGAACTTTGGTGACTCTCAGAGATGGGCTAAATGCCATAATGAGATGGACATGAGCCTTTTGGGGACCAGGGATGGAATATTATGGTTAAGATCTAGATGTCCCCCAAGAACCTCATGTACTCATACGCCAGGCTTTTGGAAGGTGGCTGGGTCATTGGGGGAGCATAGCTGACTTGTAGTTAGGAGGCAGGGTCTGGTCAAAAGAGGAGGTCACTGGTGCTGTGATCTGGAAGGGTGCATCTCACTTCCTGGCTCCTCACTTCTCTTTCTGTCTTTTCGATTATTTTATTTTATTTTTGGTACCAGGGATTGAACTCAAGTCCTTGCGCTTGTGAGGAAGGCAGCAGAACCAGAGCTAAATCCCCGGCCCTCTCACTTCTCTTTCTGCTTTGTGGCCGCCCGACGAGAGCAGCGAGAGCAGCTTTTTTCACCCACTTCCTTCTACCTTTCCTTCCTGCCTTGGAGTCAGCCAACTATGGACTGAAACCGTGAGCCAAGGTAAAACTTTGCTTTAAGTTTGGGTGTTAGATATTGCCTCAGCAATGAGAAAGCTACCGAGTCTCACACACACACACACACACACACACACACACACACAC